GATGAATAATATGTGTAAATATGAATAAAAGAAAATGTTATAAGAAGTGGAGGATATGAGGATAAGGAGGATAGATAACAATTGTAACTGTTTGGCATTTAGTGCAAAGTACTGATAGGAATCCCAGAATTCAATCTGCACCAGTCATGTTGTAACTGCTATATTTTTGACGGGAAAAACAGAACCAGTACTTTTGCTTAGGAAAGAAGCTTGGCAGGACTTATAGCAATTTTGCAGTCGCACTTTAGAAATGAAGCTTGGTTGGTTTTGTACCTACCCTCATTTTCTAGTTAGAGAGTGCACAAGTATTTCCCCACCCCTGGTGTATGCATAGATGGAAATAAATTCATTTGTCATGCATCAGTCAATACTTAGAGTTAACTTTACAAAAAAAAATACCTTGTGAGTGGTAAGAGTGAATTATGGGATTCCTGTCAGTAATTAATCTCTTTGTAACAGATATGGCTACAACAATTGACCAATTGACCCTTGACTTGATGAACTATCAAGACCTGGGAAGTGACAAATGATAACCTCCATCCAGCATATGGCAGCAATACTCCATTTTTTTTTTTGCCTAATCTGATACTTGTAAAGATAAAGTATGGTAGAAAGAGTCAGGTACTTCTTGGAATGATAGATTGAGCTAACCATTTTTAAAGGCAAAGATATTGTTATATATGAGTTCTGAATTCTGGAATGAACTTGAGATCCAATAGATGTTCAAAGAATGGTGATAATGAAATGATAAGAGTTTGCTATTGAAAGTTACAAGCCAATTTTTTGCCCATTCACTAGGTTAGACGAGGACGTTTCAACTCTTGCATTTTCTAGGCTGCTTCAGGTGTCTGTTGTACTCAGTAACCTTCTCAGAATTTTTAACCAAATCTTCAATCTGAGAGACATATGGCCTAGTGGATCAAACTGTTGATTAAAGCATATCTAGTTCCTTGGAAGTTGTGAGTTCAATCCCTGCATTAGGTAGTGAGGAAATGTTATATGTTTTGGTTCAGTAAAAGAAATTGACAAGCAGCACAAAAGATAAACTATAGTAGAGAGTGAGAGTGGTGAGTGAGAGTGGATGTCGAGTAAAAGTGGAACATGAGAGGGGAGTGCAAAGTGAGAGTGGAGAGTGAGAGTGAAGAGTGTAGAGTGCAAATAGAGAGTGATAGTCGAGCGTAGAGTTTGAGTGAAAAATGAAAGTGGAGTAGAGAGTGAGAGTGGAGAAGGGAGTGGAGATTGAGATTAGAGTGGAGATTAAAAGTGTAGTCGAGAGTAGAATGGAGAGTCAAGTGGTGAGTGAGAGTGTAGTGGAGAATGAGAGTGGAGTGGAGTAAGAGTGGAGAATGAGAGTGGAAGGTATTAAATAGTTTGAATTATCCCTTGAAAAATAGAAAGAAAACATTCTACCACCATTATTTACATTTGAACTATTGTCCTCATCTTAGTTGTTATCCCAATGTTTTCAGATAAGCTTCAGTGAATTTCAAACTGAACCCTTTATTCAATCTACAGAAGTAGACTGTTCTCATTCCACTGCCCATCTCTGTAGATATCTGCTCTAGATCTTATTTTAAGTACAGCTCAGTTATTGCTAGTCCTGTTTCCACTGGGTCCAACTACACACACAGTCACTATGGATTGAATAAAGAATTTGGTTCAAAATTCTGAAAACAGATACTGGATGAAAGTTAGAGGTTACAACAGTCAAAATACTGTGAGTATAATGACTTTTGAAATCAGAATGGAATGATAATTATTCAACTAAAAAATTTTAACATCTTTGGAAAATATTCCCAAAGAATTTAAATAACAGAACCAGTATGGGCTAGTCAAATTATCCTGAAAATATTTTAAGCAATTTAAAAAACAGGTTCAATATAAATATTCATGCCCATGCCGAAATTAGATTAATGAAGAGGCATAACAAGAAAGTTCTGAATCAAAGACTTCATAAAGAAAATGCAATATAAAGAAACTCAGATTGTGTCCTCTTAATGGAAACTGACAAATAGACAACATCATTTACCAGGCCACAGTTAAGCTCGAAGGTTACCAAAATAAAGTTTACAATAGTTAATGCTGAATAAAACTTTTTATAAGGCTTCACCAGTGGCTTTTTTATAGCTGTCTTGTTTTAACTGTCTGTGAAGTTCTTGTTGGTCCAATGTTCTACCAATTGTTGTTGGAACATCAATTTGGATTAATGATTAGTGAGGTTAGTCTGGTTGACTATTAGTAGTGTGTACAATCCTCACTTTTTGAACATACAAAATTCAACATTAAATAACCCAACAAGTATTGACTGGTTGCCAAATCAAACAAGTAATTGTTGTGATGTGTACATCTGTTCCAGTCTCCTTTATGTTTGATTTTGTTTTGAATGAAACTCCATTTTGTGCAGAAAATAGATATGCTGCATGATCCTGGAACTAAATTTGCTGTAGATATTTCTGAAATCAGTGCACTTTCAATACACTTTCATATTAAGTGAACAAATTTCATAAACTCATATGGTAAATTGAATCCAGTATCATTTAATAGATTTCCTTTCCTCACAAAATTACAATTAATACAATTAAAAACAATAGCAATAAAAATAGAATTAATAAAAAGCTGAATTGAACTTTATTGCTTTACCTTACGTTACGCTATTGTTTATTGCCTAACAAGAAGAATCACGTTACATGTCCGTGACCATAACTCAATTAGGTCTCATTTAAATACACATGGAGACCTACAAAACTCTATCTGCAACACACTCATTAACAATAGAAATTTAATAGCCTCATCCACATGTACAAAAAGGCTAAAAATAATGGAAGCATTATTAATAAAAAAAGAAAAAGCCAGCACTCACTAACATTAACTATGAACACGGCCACAATGTGCTGATGGTGTTTTGAAAATAAAGGATTCCGATAACTCTACATACATACATACATAACAATCCATACATTCAGTTAAAAGTAAAAATAAGATCATCCGTGATAATGGTTAAAAGTATAGCTAAAAATGTGCAGACATGCATAAACAATTTGGACAATTTGTACATAATTTGTGTCTCAAAAAGAAAAAATTATAAAGAAACAAGGAAAATTAAATAAAAAACTTTACCACAGTACCTTGTCAATCGTTTTTAATGAAACTTTTATATATATATATATATATATATATATGTGTGTGTGTGTGTGTGTGTGTATAATTAATCAGTAATCTCTATGTAATGTATAATTCTGGTAATATAGGGTGACCCAAAAAAATGGGAATTTTTGAAGTGTGTATTGCCAGACATGAGCAAGTGGCAACACTGCGAGACAGTGACCTTGAGCAAGTAAATATTTTGCCATTTAGAATTCAAGAGGAAATTCACAGTATTCCAGCTGAGATGTTGCAGCAGTCAATGAGGAATCTCAACAGCAGGTTTCAAGAATGCATTTGTACAGGAGGATGCCATCTACAGGACATAATTTTTAAAAAATGAAAATTCCATCATTGTTTCTTAAATGGCATGTTTTAAGGTTTCAATTACTATGAATAAAATATTTTTCTTCCATCACTCTTGGTTTTATTGGATTGTTAAAAAGTTCCCATTTTTTGGGGTCACCCTGTATAATAGAATCAGAATTTTATTTTATTTTAAACTTAAGATATAAAATACAACATTTTATTTATGCTTTTCTTTTACCTTGTACATAAATCATTAGTAATATTGTAATTAAATTTCAGTTCTAAAATATAAATAATTATATATATATATATATATATATATATATATATATATATATATCTGAAAAAAAAAAAGTTTTCTGGTATGCTATATTTATGGGTAAAGTGCTCAATATCAGGGATGGGTCATATGTGAATATAAATATAAAAGTAGACACTGAGTTCAACACCAAACCGTGACAGTCTGTTTTATGCTTGAATATAATATTCATAACCTGAAGATTACATCGAAGAATGAAACATACTGCCACTGCTTGGTGTTGATCTTCATGTCCACTTTTATATATATATATATTTTATGTTTTATACAGCAAAAATCCCAAATTACCTCATGTGGGTATAGTCTATTTTAGACGCGCAGAACCATATGCCAGTGCATATTAAAAGTTAGAATAAATTATCTAAATAATAGATTGTCTTGTCTTTAAGTCCCTCAACATTAAAATAATCCACTAGAAGGAACCTACTTTCATTTACATACAACTAAAGACCTTAGTCATAAATACACTCCCACTCTGGCCTATCTCCTTGTCAACAACCCAGACTCCTTATCAAAACAAGGTGTCCTCTTAAGTAGCCCTGTATATTCTTACTGGCTGCTATCTAAACTAAATTTAAAACCCCTATTCCAAGACGGTTAGTCTATCACTGAGGAAGACCAGCATATGGCTGTGCTAGTCTGAAATACACTATACTCACATGAGGTAATTTTGAATTTTTTGCTGTATAAAATAATATATGATCTATTATAATAAAAACATTGAGCTCTTTCTGAGGGTCCGTTTTAATATCTGATATTACTAGAATCCACCTGGATTATATACCAATGGATCTATTACCAGTACTATATATTTTTTATATATATATAAACAAAAGTGTAAAATGAAAGGTACCATCCAATGCTGACTCTCATTTACCATTCATGATAGGAGAGTCAACCATATATATATATATATATATATATATATATATATATATATATATATATATATATATATATATATACATATATATATATATATATATATATATATATATATATATATATATATATATATAAATAAATACATACATATATATATATATATATATCAAAGCAAAAGAAATGAACATGTTAAAACAAGAGTAAAAATTAATAACAAAAATGAGGGGTAATGAAAAATAATAAATAAATGTGTGTAATGATATGACTAATTGCTGACTAATAGAATAAAGCCATTCCATGGCTTTATTCCCCAATCCCATTATCTGCCAATCTCTTGGACACTTACCTTTGTCAAGCACCTTCCTACACTTTTCAGAAAAGCATATTCCTCAGGTAAATTCGGAGAGTCCAGCTGGTTCTCAATTTCCTCTCGTAGTGAAAAGATTTTGGCCTCTGGATGAATCCTGAATAGAAAAGAGTTAATCCAACATGAGTTTGAAATTCTTTGCAAATGGTTTTATTATTAAGTGCATTGCAACTGATTTGATCGCATGGAAAGACAGAAAAGACATACAGTGTAACCCGGATATAAGAGAGTTGTCGGGACCGGAGAAGAAGTCTCTTATATCCGGGTTTCTCTTATATCTGGGTTTGGTCTATTTTATATACATTAACACAGGCTCTAATTTGGGACCAGAGAAAATCTCTCTTATATCCGGGTTTCTCTTATATCCGGATCTCTTATATCCGGGTTACACTGTATTTGGTTTCAGTGAAAAAAATGAAAGAAAGAAAGAAAAAAAAGGTAAATTGAAGTGTTTCATGTCTGTTTCAGCTGTGAAAAGCTGTGAATTTCAAATCTTTTTCATTTGTACCCCCCTTACTTCTTAAAATAACAAGCAGCATTCTTATTTATGATTGTTATTGCAATATTTTGTAAAAGTTGTTAAGCTCAAATATTTAGCAACATCAGAGGTGAATTTCTATAGATATTTTGTTGTCATAGAACTTGCCAAGAGTTTATTCAATCATTAACTTAATTAAGATTCATCAGAAAATTTAAATAGGAAAACCGGTGAAATCTTCATGAGTATTTCTAGCAAAAATAGATTGCAATTGATTTTACAATGAAAATGCATTGCAAATGATTTTACGATGAAAATGCATTTCAAATGATTTTACTGTGAAAATGAACTGCAAATGATTTTGCCATGAAAATGCATGGTAGATGATTTTATTATGAAAATGCATTGCCAATGATTTTACTATGAAAATGCATTGTAAATGATTTTACAATGAAAATGCATTGCAATTGATTTGAATATGAAAATGCATTGCCAATGAAATTACTATGAAAATTCATTGCAAATGGTTTTACTATGAAAATGCATTGTCAATTTAATATGAAAATGCATTGCAAATGATTTTACTATGAAAATTCATTGCAGTTGATTTTTACTATGAAAATGCATTGCAAATGATTTTACTATGAAAATGCATTGCCAATGATTTTACTATGAAAATGCATTGCCAATGATTTTACTGTAATAATGCCTTGTAAATGACTTTGCATTAAGTTGGTTGATTTTATGACAGTTGAACACTTGTTGAATTATTTAATATTGAATTTTGCAATGATCAACTGGTGAGTATCAAACTCATTACTCAAAAAGTAATGACTAATCTTGTTAACCATTACCCCACAGGAAGGTGTTTTCCATGTTAGGAGATAATTTGAATTAGTTAATTTTTAATCCATCCTGGTAAACTGCATACACATAATCAATGTTTATATCCACTACGCCAATGTTCTGTTGGACATTCAAATGTGGAATCTTGGAGCCATAAACTTAATTTTTCTTTATAGGGTACTTAATTCTATGCTTGGTCTACTGTGAAGGTTTTCAGAGCCGAGCATGTTTGCTGATTCTTTCAATATTTCTTTCTTATTTTGACTTTGGTCCACTGGATTTGGTGACTCCCGGCTTTTACTGCTGCAAATGATCAGCCATACTTGATTTCATAATCACCCTTGCTAATTAGTTTATACAATTTAACTGCTTGTTGTGAATTCAATCAGTTGAAAGGTGTGGTGGCCATCATGTCTTGATATCTCTATTCAAGAATGGTAGTTTGTCTCACACACTGTGTTTGTCACTAATCTGTTTGTCAGATCATGGACTTTCTTTTTTTACCTTTCCCCCTTGACTTTTGCCTCCCCACCCAACGTCTTTTACCTTTCCCACCTGACTTTTAGTTAAATGTCACTTCAAATCTGAAGCGGCATTTCTGAAATGCTCGCCTTCAAGACAATTGTATCAGGACTGTAGCTCTTCATGTGTCTGTTTTGATACTTAGGGTCCTCAGATCTCTTTTCAAACATCTTTGTAGCATAGTCAGGGGTCATCTTACAAGGTAATTTCCCTGTACTACCCATGTGTATAGGGATCCTTTGGTATTTGACAATTATTCATTTATATATCCAAGCCAGTAGAAGCGTCTTTGCTTTAAGAGTATGTACATACCGGAAATCTGAACACTTTTGAAATTGATGTTGATGGAGACTGTCTCACCAAGAGATCTTTAGAATATCTCATATGCAGTGCATGTGAAAGCATTCAGCTTCTGTACTCACTTTTTCAGTCTGGACATGATGGTAGCACCCTTAACAATACATTTAAAGTGGAACTGGCAGCTACTCTACAAAATTATCTCTAATCAGTTGTTAACTGGGACAAGAAATGGCTTGTAAATTTTGATGCCTCGAAAATGAAACTGCTATCTTTTAATAGAGAACTTTTTTTGCTTTCCATCAGTATGGCTGATGCTAACCTCCTGGAGAGTGACTCATTGCATGTTTTCTCACGTTTTCCATTGATATGAAATGGAGTGATTACATGGCATTAATGGGTGAATCTGCTACTAAAAAAGTTGTGCCATGCCATTATAAATAAAATGGACACTGAGGTCAACACCAGTTGGTAACAGTCTGTTTCATGCTTGAATACAATCTTCAGGTCATGTTGTGTTTTGTCTCGACTATTTATACATGTTGGTCACTGGTGCATTATGGGTAGTAAGGTCTATTCTTTTATTCTAACCGTTGGCCATAACAGTTATGTTTCAAATTATTCTAGAGACTATTAAATAGAAATAATTATGGATCTGAATGCAGTTATTTGTAGTTATTTTATAATGTTTTTTGTTAATTTCTTATTCATTATTTATTATTAATTACTTAATTATTTGTTGCACAAGACTATCAACGAACAGTATAAAATAGCTACAATTAATCACATTCGAATACACAGCACACATAACCTGAAGATTGCATTCAAGCATGAAACACACACACAAATATCCCTGGAGAATATAATATATATATATATATATATATATATATATATATATATATATATATATACTGGCAAAAAACAAAAGACAATCCTAATTGTTTTATAACTCCATAAGCAGAAGATTTTCTCAACAATTCCAAGAAAATTTGGATTACTACTACACCCAAAAGACAATGGTTAAACATTGCAAAACATAAGAAAAATTAATTCCTTTTAATAATGTGGAAATAACCACTCTGCTATATGAAGATCATGAGACCCAAAATGAGTGTAACAAAATATGAGAAATAAAGTATAATATATATTTTAAAAAATCCACATTATAACCAAAAACGTTTGCGGCTTCTCTCTTCTCTTTATATACATACATACATACATACATATATATATATATATATATATATATATATACTGATGATAACCTCAGGGAAAGTGACTCGTTGCACCTTCTCGGGCTCATGTGGCATGAAGTGGAAAGACTATATTGAATCCATTGCTAGATCATCTGCTAAGAAAGTCGGTTCATGTGTCATGCAAGATGATTTTTCTCTCCAGTATCTATCTTACGTATCTATAAGTCTACCATTCATCGATGCATAGAATTTATTGTTTTGTCTTCATGGTATGTTTTAAACGTTTCATTGTTGAGGTTAAGGGTGATGTATAGATAACCAACTACTTTAAGTTTAGAGGAAATCACAATCGTAAACCCTAGTAATTTAAAGGCCCTAATGATTTTCTTTTGGATCTTTGTGGTTAGTGGACCATTACTATTGTGGATGAAAATGAGTCCATCATCTCTGTATAGTCCTATTTCTTTGGGATCTACTATTCTACTACGGGTAATATAAATACATGCTAAATCAGCAACCACACTGAATCATATCCACCCATAGGAACATCAAAATTGTCATTAAAGCATGTAGTCCATGTGGAATTGTTAAGAGGTAAAGATGATTTACTAGATGTTAGGATGATATTTAGTCTCCTCATCAGTGATCTCTACATAGTTTTTTGCAAAGTTAATACAATTTACCAAGAGATCCTTGGAGATGAGGGAATGAAAATCTATGATATACTATTTGATAAATGTAGCTCTTTCCTTACCACCAGTATTGACGAATCTTTCCAGTAATTAGTACAGGTTCTAATTAGGAATTTAACGGTTATTTTTTTATTATATTTTTGTCAGTTGATCTAAAAATTCAGCTTTGTCGTTAATTGGGGCAAGAAAGAGCTAATTTTGGATTTTAATGTTTATTAATCTTATGGCTCTGTAATAATAAATACATTGAGCTCTTTTTGTAGATCAGTTTTAATATTTTATATTACTAGGATCCACTTGGAATATATACTAACGGATTTGTTATTTTTACTTTATATATATATATATATATGTGTGTGTGTGTGTGTGTGTGTGTGTAATGTAAGTCCATTTAAATTCGGTGGGTGAAAAAACCTGGATAGAACAATTTTTAAACAAATTAGCATCCGAGGAAAATATATGGAAAAAAAAGAAGAAAGAACCAGAAACCTTCGAACAGGATGAGAGGAATCATTCAATATCATAAATCTCTGGCACAAAGAAAAAACCCAGCGGATAATAAGTTAAAATGAAGAGTGCTCAATACGCTAAGTAGAGTAAAAATAAAATAAATCCTAATCATAAGGATTTATATATATATATATATATATATATATATATATATATATATATATATATATATATTGAACAATTAAAAATATTAAAAAATTAAAAAATTAAAATCTTCAGACGCACTAGGTTGTATATTAATATTTCTTCGTTATTATTATTATTATTATTATTATTATTATTATTTTATTATTTCATTTAGATTCCTCGACTAGCTTCGGCCAAAATGGCCATCATCAGGAGAAAAATAATTTTCTGCTTGCTGGTAGCAGTGAACTACAGAAATGAATGTCTTGATGGAGAAAATGAACTTTTGTCTGTAGTTTTCATTTGTTTTTTTTTATTTTTTTTATCGTGAATTTTGGTCAGCCCCTGTGTTGGTCAAACAGTCTCTTTTAAGCTGTTATTTAAGATAAGAGCTGGATGGATTCATGCTGCTCTGAATTCCCTTGGTCATTTTGGCAGTTTTATTAGTTCCTGGAAAGGAGATGTGTCTCTGTTAAGTGTGTGTGTGTGTTATTTGGTTCTTAGAAGGTGAGTGAGTATGATATGTGTAAGCGTGTATATTACTATGGGTGTGTGTTATCATTTATATATATATATATATATATATATATATATATATATATATATATGTGTGTGTGTGTGTGTGTGTGTGTTATTTTGGTTCTTAGACAGTGAGTGAGTATGATATGTATAAGCGTGTATATTACTATGGGTGTGTGTTATCATTTATATATATGTGTGTGTGTGTGTGTGTGTGTGTATCACGTTAAACGTTATTTTCAGCGGATATTCGTATTTGAGTAGGCTCTCCCTTAATCTATTTTCACCTATGGACCTGAATATTTGAGTAGTCTTATTAAAGGAAAAATTGCGATGTTTGGTAGGAATTGAACCTGCATCTCTCAGGCAGAGGGAACTGCCGTTCAGCTTGGCATGCATTACCCACTTGGCCACGTGCAATTTGGTGGCGCCAGAGCGCTTCCTATGAGTCTTGCTTTCTGGCCTGAAATTGCCCTTGTTGCCTGAGGCTTCGTATTGGTTTGCAAGGTCGTAAACCATTGTTTTGGGTTATTTAGATACCTCGTGTAAATGGCCAGGCAGCTACTGAGGTATTGTGCTTTCTAATGACGCTCCTGAAATCGCTGTGACGTCATGTCGCCATTGTAAAATTTTCGAACTTATCTGCGCCACACTGTATGTATGTGCGTCCGTGTTTGTGTGTGTGTGTGTTATTCCTTACCTGATAAATCCCAAAGATATACTCTCAGTAACGTCTTGATTCTGCATGTTGTTGTATTTTTCTCTCCAAATATTTGATGGCACCACATAAATATGGAAATCTTCCAGCTGGAAGGAAAAATGAATAAATTAATAAACTTTAGTAAATATATTTCATCCATTTTAAAAACAAATTAGTCAAGCAAATTACATGGATCTTCTTGAGGTGCCACTCTAGGCAAATACTTTTTACGCGATTCTTAAACGTTCCTGTAGATTCTGGCAGAAATGCACTAACTGCTATTGTCATTTCAAAAGTCTTTATTAATTTACTCAAGTTTCTAATGCTGCTGCTATATATATTTACAGTTATGACAAAGGATACTTCGGTTATTGGAGTTTAATTTAAATCCTACTAAATTTGATCTTGGTTGACCAGATATAGTAATTTTCTAAGCGCTGCTTAGATGTGGCACAAGGCCGGAAGTATGGAGCACCCAGTGAGGATCGAACTCACTACTCAGTCGTAATTATTCTAGCGAGACAAGCTTGCTAACCATTGCACCACGCCGAAGTGCTCACAGTTGACCAGATATAAACACCAAACATTGGTCATCTACTGCAATGCTGTCCATTCAGGATTTTATTAATTTATACTGCATGGTACTGACCTATGAGTGAACTCTCACTAACACCTATTGATCTGACCTATGCATGAACCTACCACAACTCACCCAATAAGAGCAATAAAGATTTTAGCATTGTCTTCTTTTCCCCGCCAATTCCCCTTTGCAGTTTTATTTCATTTTTCCTTGGTGGCAATTTCTAAAATTTAATTTCATAATAAACTGCACAATTTCTCAATGACTATACTTTGATTTGCATTTGCTAAACATTTCAGCAAAACAACAACAACAGCAACAAAACGTTCAGAATAAATCATTAACAAATTGATTAACAAACAATGGTGACAGATCAAGGGCGTGGCTTTGTTAATATTTTTGGAAACATGCATAGATAGATATATACTTTTATTTTTATATGCCGTACCCCTTCAGGACGTAGGCGATCATGGCTCTCCACTTCCTCCTATCCCTAGTAGCTCTCAATAAGTTTTGTCTTTTTGCCACTTCTCCCAGAACCTGTTCTGTCATCCACTTGCCTAAGCCCGCTAAAAATGTCCCGCGTTACTTTCCCTTGTCTCTCTTTCTCTTTATCCGACCTGTGAGTATCAGATTCTCCAAGCCTTCCTTTCTCATTACGTGTCCCAGAAATTCCAGCTGCCTCTTCCTAATGTTAAGTATAAGCTGCCTCCTTGTTTGCATCCTCTCCAAAACCTCATCGTTGCTCACACACTCGGTCCATGTTATCCTTAGCATCCTTCTGTAGAACCATACCTCCGCTGCCTTTAGTCTCTTCTTCATTTTTGAGGAGACCGTCTAACATTTGCTGCCGTAAAGGAGGACAGTTGGAACTGATAAATAACTGACACACCCAGACATATATATATATATATATATGTGTGTGTGTGTGTGTGTGTGTGTGTGTATTTACCTGTTCTAAAATTAATAGTTTTGCAGACAAGTAAAACACATTCAGATATAAGAAACATTTGATTTCTATATATGTAATCATTATAATCAAATCAATTTATTGTGTATATTCCTGCCTTTGACCTGTTGCTATTGTACAAAATGCCAATGTGTGAAACACCCAGAAACCTCAAAAGATGTCTATATAAGCATCGCAGAGACATGCTGCATAACAATACTTTAAATGCACTGGTGGTGAACTGTTATACATCTGGCAACAGTTTCAAGTTAATAAATATAAATCTGGCCACGAGAGAAAAGGATTCATTACGAAGAAAATTCATTGAGAGTGCGCTGATCTGACAATTCTTGACAGTAAACCTAAGACAAGGCTCATACACAATATCACCGATCATCACAAAAGCAATAGGAGCACAATGTGGTTTACGAGCTAATAGAGAAAAAAAAAACAGGGATCTGCTTAGAGTGGGCTTATTTAAAAATCCAACAACTTATTATTAGGGCACACTCGTATTTGAGTGGGTGCTCCATTTATTTATTAAACAGAATATTTATTTATTTTCACCTACCGGCCTGAATGTTCGAGAAATCTTATTAAAGAAAAATTTGTGCTATATATATATATATATATATATATATATATATATATATATATATATATATAATCCGAATTACGCGCGCCTTATTGCGGTTTACACATTTTTTTTGTAAGAAAATGATGACTGATTTTAAATCATTGTTATAATTAGTGGAGAAAAATGATGCATTTCAATATTACGCAATGATCTTACAATGTGACCTCCATCTTCTGGCTTTCTCCTATATTTTGGATAGGAGTCATTCCCTTGTTCAAAATTAAATTTAATTTAAATCAAAGGGGAAAATATTTTCAGTTGTTTTTTTTTTTTTTTTTTTTTTGCAAAAACAGCTTGATCCGACTCCTTTGATATGTATTTGATGCAATACTTGATTGAATGAATTTATGAGCAGATTTCAACAATGATATGACAGTTGAATAGTCACAACAAATATGTATTGTAAGGCACTACACACTGACTGGTGATTTCTTGTCCAACTTAATGTCCGTATTGTCTCATTTTGATCTTGCTGATGTGATCTCCATCTTCCGGCTTTCTCCTTCTATAATTTGGTTAGAAGTCATTCTCTTGTTCAAATTTAAATTCAATTTAAATCAAAAGGGAAAAAATTCAGTTGGGAGTTGTGCTCCCGCGGACCCCATTTGATCAAAATGAAATATACTTATCCATATACCTTAGGAGCCATTCCCTTGTTCAAATTTAAATTTAATTTAAATCAAAGGGGAAAAATTCAGTGAGGGATTTGTGCCACAGCCCCCACCCCGGGCATCCTCTTTGATCAAAATGAAATATACTTATCCAAATACACTAGGAGTCATTCCCTATTTCAAAATTAAATTTGATTTAATTAAATTTTAATTTATATCAAAGAAAAAAAATCAGTAGTGGTTTGTGCACCCATCCCCCCACCTCGGGACATCCTTTGATCAAAATGAAATTCATTCAAGTACCCTGGGTAATGTAGTTTCAGAATATATATGGTCTTAGGGGTTTACCCTCCAAAACCCTAGGAAGAGACAACAAACAGACAGACTGAGGGTACAACTTTATATATATATATATATATATATATATATATATATAGATAGATAGATAGATAGATAGATAGATAGATAGTAAATAAACACTTTCTGGTTTCTCGTGATCGGATCTGATAATTTAATTTATTGTCTCTCTTATCTTCAAAATTCCCAATGCATTTTCCTTATGCAAAGCTTTAGCATTCATTTCTAATTGAAGAAGCCGAAACCAATACATGTCACATCGGTTATATTTTTCATACCTACATATATATTTCAACATACAAATGCGTATGTATAGAGACAACACCACCCATATACATACATATGTCAAATCCCATACTGTCCACATATGTTTATATCTGTATGAGCCTCGGCGGACGAGCGAGTGTGTATGTGTGTCTGCGTACCTCATCGGGTGTACAGACATCCATCCATGTTTGCGTTAGCATGATTGACATCACGACGACGTCCCCCCCACTCCCATAATAACACCAATACACGCAATCTACATAAACCCAAAATTTAAAAAAATTAATCAGTTTATCTGACGATCGCAAAAAACGTGAAACCCAGGGTCACAAACTCACATCAATCCAACCAAATATATATATATATATATATATATATATATATATATATATATATATATGGGTATGAAAAATATGCATACATGCACATATACTTGCACATAAGTATAAATATTTTTCTTCCTCAGGTGTTATAAATACAGTGCTTAAGGTTATGTGACAGAGCTATGTATTAGTGAATATACATAATATTTAACGTCGATAGCATGACTCAGAGTTTCATGGGGTCTTGCAATCTTCAGAGCGTATTCTGACCGTTATAGAGTTTGCGTTCTCGTGGTCATGATTCAAAATTGTTTGTTAAAGCTTGTTTATTTAATTATTGTTTCCTAAAATATTAAAATTAATTATTTATAATTTATATCATTCATATTCTAAAGTTCGAAAGCTGAACAATAAAAATATTTAAATTTAAAATTAAGTAAACAAGATATCAAGGAGGTAACACTCTGTTTTTTGCATAAAATACTTGAACTCTATAACGGTCAGAATACACGCCGCACCTCAAGATTGCAAGACAGCATAAAACTCTGAGTCGTACTATCGACGTTGGATATTATGTATATTCACTAATAAATAAATCCTAATGAGCCAGGTACTACCTACCTAGGTTTCATCACATGAGATCATCAGGGTGAACTGGAGATTTCTGGTGCTTTCTTTTTTTTCCATTTTTCCTCGGATGCCAATTTATCTGAAAATTGTGCTATCCAGGTTTTTTCACCCACCGAGTTTAAATAGATTTACATTATATATATATATATATATATATATATATATATATATATATATATATATATATATATATATATAAATAGTTATCCTTTTATTGTACATTTATCTGTGTTAATTTTAAATCTCCCGTTGAAGACTGAAGAGCAGGAGCGGAACCGGTTGCTTCGCTTGTGTTTTTAAATATGTCTCGTAATATTAAGTTTTATACTTTTATTTCGATCATATATATATATATATATATATATATATATATATATATATATATATCCCTCACGGATAGCACAACTCGGAGTTTCATGCACAACGTAATCTCCAGGTGCTGGCTACTGACCAGCCGTTAATCTGAAAATTATGTTGTGCATGAAACTCCGAGTCATGTTATCGGTGATAGATAATATGTATATGTATTAATATATACTTAATATCTCTGTTTTATTATACAGAGCACTGTTTTATTAATACTCGCACTATACGTGCAATATATATATATATATATATATATATATATGTATATATGCGTGTGTGTATAAGATAGATAACAAATAGGAAACGATTATCAGTCTAACATATTTC